CTCACTGTGGCAATCACCAGGTAGATAGATCTTCCTTTGTTTCTCCCAAAACAATGTTTTGCTCTTTTTTTTTCTTGCAGGATCCCAGATTTTCTCCAGCTTTGTCGTCCTCTTACAAGCCTCTCGAGTGTGGGAACGAATGCAGCACGGGTTTCTGTGATGGATCACGTTGTAAGTAGCACTTCTGTAAGTTTTTCACAAGCTTTTTGCAAGGCTCTCAAGTCTCCCGCAGGCAAGTATCAGCGCCAGTATGCGGAGAAGAGCACAAGCAGTGGAGTGCTTGGAAAGGACGTGATAAGTTTTAGCAACAGCAGTGATCTCGGTGGCCAGCGTCTCGTTTTCGGCTGCGAGACTGCGGAGACGGGGGACTTGTATGATCAGACTGCCGATGGAATTATCGGACTGGGACGAGGTCCTTTGAGCATCATCGACCAGCTCGTTGAGAAGAATGCCATGGAGGACGTTTTCTCTCTCTGTTATGGAGGGATGGACGAGGGGGGTGGTGCGATGATACTCGGTGGTTTTCAGCCCCCAAAAGACATGGTTTTTACGTCGTCTGATCCCCATCGCAGGTATTCTTTCATTCTTTCTGACTTTGTTAGAGTTGACATCTTCTTTTTTTCCAGTCCTTATTACAACTTGATGCTCAAAGGAATTCGTGTTGGTGGTAGCCCGTTGCGCTTAAAGCCTGAAGTTTTTGATGGCAAGTATGGCACCGTTCTGGACAGCGGAACGACATACGCGTACTTCCCTGGAGCTGCGTTTCAGGCTTTTAAAAGTGCAGTAAGTGCGAGAGAGAGCTCGTAACTGTCAATCACGCTTACGAATCTTTTGAAATCCTTTTCTTCCAGGTGAAGGAACAGGTTGGAAGCCTTAAGGAGGTGCCAGGTCCGGATGAAAAGTTTAAAGATATTTGCTACGCCGGGGCCGGGACGTGAGTGTACATGCAGATGCCATTTCAACCCACCCTTAACTTCTGTTTCCTTTCGCAACAGGAACGTTTCCAATCTGTCCCAGTTCTTCCCGTCCGTGGATTTCGTTTTCGGAGATGGTCAGAGCGTAACTCTCTCGCCAGAGAACTACCTGTTTCGGGTGAGATTGTCTTTAAGTGTTTCCAAAGTCGAAAAACATTGGTTTCATTCTTTCTCTCTTCACATGTGAACATCGCAGCACACAAAAATCTCTGGAGCGTACTGCTTGGGAGTGTTTGAGAACGGAGACCCGACAACTTTATTAGGAGGTACAAACTCTACTTGATGATTCTCAGCTTGGCGACGTTGCCGAATCATGGCAGGGATTATCGTGAGAAACATGCTTGTGACTTACAACCGTGGAAAGGCATCGATTGGATTCTTAAAGACGAAGTGCAACGACCTGTGGAGCAGACTGCCCGAGACGAACGAGCCCGGTCACTCGACACAGCCTGCTCAGTTCTTGCTCCCTCCGGCCCCGTCTCCTTCTGTTGGCGCAGGAGACATGGCCGGAGCTATCGAAGTCAGCATGCTGCTGGCAACGAATTACACCACTTTTGCCAGCTTAACCGCGGAGTTCGTCAAGGACGTAGCCCGAGAGCTGGATTTAGATCTCGATCAGGTACAACTCTACGGCTTAAAACTCTTTGTCATTGACAGCCTTTCTCAGGTCAGAATTCTCAACTTCACGGCTGCTGGGAGCAGTATCGTGGTGGCTTGGATGGCTTTTCCAAATGAGATGGACTCGACCAAGGTAATGTTCGTGTCGTTTTCTTCTGCGGGCACTAAGACGTGAGAAAACTTGGCAGCAGCTCATCTCACGTTTGGAGCGGCATGAAGTCCACTTGTCGGAGGTGTTTGGAGTCTACAATCTCACCAGCTGTAGAGTTCTTGAGCGCCAAAAGTAAGTTCTTCTCAAGAAAAAAATTCTTCCGGACAGCTCAGTCCTACGTTTAGTTTCAGGCAAATGGGAGGATCTCGTCAGCGCGAGATCGCTGCCGCGACACTGATCGTCGCCGTTTGCATCATTCTGGTTTGCACGGCCGGAGGTGTAATTTACTGGCAGCTGTGGAGATTTCGCAGGAACAAGCAGCACTCGTATCAAACCATCGAAGAACAGACCATCGAAGAACAGCAGCACGACAACGAAGCTGGAGTACAATTACAGCACCTTTGATGCGAAACCACACTCGAAAACAGGGAATTCTTTCGTTCTTCTTCGTCCAAGTTTTGACACACACACACACACACACACAGAATTATTACATTGGTGGTGGTGCTACTACTGCTTGTTGTATGTATGTAATATTGAAACCATTATCACTGTTAATCAATCGCATGAGCTCCAAACTAAAAATTCGCTTAATCATCAAACGCAAGCTTTCACGCGCTTAACGAGAATCGAGCCCTGGACGATGGGCCAGCCTGGCCCAGAGGGTGGCCCACTTGCCGTACGGAGCCGTCGGTATTGAATGAGGAATAACGTTATACGACCGAGACGTATGAGCCACGGTATAGATACGAGTATGAGCGTATGTGCCTTAAATGGGCAAAGGCGCTATCCATCCATTTCAAATTCAAAATCCGGGGAATATGTGATTTATTATTCCACCAGCCACCCTTGTGTGGTGTGTGATCTTGAGGATCATGGTGGGGAGCGTACAATCTCCATAGTTTAGTGGCTTCTATGAAAGCGTTTATTTGTTCTTGGTCGATTGATGATCGATCGCGCTCCAGGCAGCGGACAATCGGATCGAATCGGCGCCCAGTGGCGCCCAATTTGGCGGTTTCGACCCACCCAAATCGATTTCTCTTCCTTTTGCCGCGGGGGATCCCCATGAGATTCATGGAGGGATCGTCGCTTGGTCAATCATTTAGAAGTATGATTTTCCAGTTCTGGATCCAATCGGTCCGCAAAGAGTAAACAATCCACTAGAAAAACTAGTCGTGGCATTGACAATTTCTCTTCCAGCTGCTGACAATCGCGGGATGGACTTCCCTCGGAGCCGCATAAAATATAGCGCGAAACAAATGGTAAAGAATCCACTCGCGAGAGAGAGAGGCAGTGGTATAAGAGTGGGCAGCCAATCCATGGATGAATCGAAATTTCCTTGCAGCGATAGCGCTCGCGATTGGTATCGACGGCAACGACGACGACGACAACGACGACGACGATTTCTGGTATGCAAGGCAAAGCCTGCGGCGAATTTTTGTCGGATTTGTGCTGTGGTCTTGCTGTTGGGTGTGAATGGTTGTTGGCTATGGTGTGTTTGCGCAGAGGAAAAAACAAAGAGAGGGGAGATCAATCAATCAATCAATCCCTTTCTTTTTCTCGGCAATGTGTGTGTGAAGCAAGAGATTGGAGGAGGAGATGATAGAGAGAGAGATGGAAAGAGAGGGATCGATTAGAGAGAGAGTGTGAGAGAGAGAGAGAAAGAGAAAGAGGGGATTTTTTAGCTCCCTAGCTATGAGCAAGACAGTATTAGTTGTGTAGGCATTCATTCATTCATTGGCACACACATTCACACTTGTGTGTAGCGCAAAAAATCCCAGATGACGACTGCTATATTGTTTTCTCCTGTGACACTCACCACTGGCAGCGCTAGCAGCAAAACTAGCCAAGAACACGAGCAAGAGCAAGCATGGATAGATCTTGGATGAATGCTTCATCCCCTCCTCCTCCTCTTTGCTGGTCTTAGATTATCTTCTTCTCGGCTTGTCACTCCAATCAATCCTTCCTCCAGCATTTGGATTTGATGCGGGGCATTGCTGCGCGTTTGGTCCCCAGAGTGACGACACTAAACCGCGCTCTTGTTCCCCAGGAAGCAGCAGGGAGCAGCAATTGCCGGCTCCAACAAGACAAGCCCCGCTGGAATTGGCGGCGCCGCGTTCAATTCTTCGTCTCCTTCATGGCTATCGCTCAAAAATCTCCACCACCGCCGCTCTCTACTCAGGTGTGATCTCATTCTCCCTCTAGCAATGCGATCCCTTTCAGTCAACTCAATTCATACTTTTTCTTGCTTTTCTTTCTTTCCAGACAACCAGCCCAAGAAATCTTGCTTGTCCCACATGTTTGGAGCCACTCAGCCGGCATGGACCCCAAGGATTTAATCGGTAAGTTTGGTTCCTTCTCTCTTTTTTTTTCTCTCCATTTTTTCTTATCTTCTTCGGTCGATCGATCGCTTTTTCTTCTTCTCTTGCAGCGCAGCAATCGCCAAGTCAATCTTGCGGTGCCAAACTTGCGGCAAGGACTTTCCCAGCGATGGAACTTTCATCGATTTGACGCTGGGTGCCAATCGCAGCACTTGGCAGGAGACGCTTCCAATTGGAGTGAGGCTCTTCAGGTTTGTCGCCTACACATAAAAAAAGAAAGAGCTACTCGCTAACAAACGCTTGGAGTGATGATCAAACCTTACCTTCTCGCAGGACGAAATGGATCTCTCTCATCTACGAGGAGAACTGGCGCAAGAGCTTCGAGAAGTTTGGGTTCCCCGGTCCCGACAGAGAGGTTGCTTCTCCATTCTCTCCAACTCGCAGCGATCGTCTCGACTCACTCTTTGTTCTTCAGGTGGAGCTGGCCGAAACTTTCCTCCAAACTGCTGTTGATCCCTCCAGACCTGACGAAGAGAATCTGCTCGTCGACATCAGCTGTGGCACCGGCCTCCACTCTCGACGGTTTGCAAAGTCCGCTACCTTCACCGCCGTGGTTGCGGCAGACTTCTCCGAGGCAATGCTGATCCAGTGCCATGCGTTGCTCAACGAGAAGCAATCTCCATGGAACGAGTGAGCCGTCTGTCCTTCTTGTGTGATTGAAACCTCCTTATCCTTTCTTCTTCAGGAAAGTCGTTCTCGTCAGAGCCGATGCATCGAGGCTTCCTTTCGCATCGGGCAGCATCTCGGCCGTCTATTCAGGAGCTGCATTGCACTGCTGGGAGTCGCCATCAATAGCAGTAATACGTTAACTTGATGGAACCAGAGAAAAAGAAAAACTTATCTCAGCTTTTCCCTTCTCGTTTTTCTCAGATTGCAGAGATCTGTCGTGTTCTTCGTCCTGGAGGAGTCCTGGTTGCGACCACATTCCTTCCCAGATGGAAATCCAAGCTGCAAACAACGCAGAAGTTTATGAGACTGGTATACAAGTTCATGAAATATTCGATCACTTCCTTACCTTTCTCGTGTATAGGCTGCAGAGAAGATCTTCGGCACCAAAATTTTTTTCTTTGAGGATGAACTGGACGAGCTGTTCGAGACGAGCGGCCTGGTCAGTTATCAGAAAATCAAAATTGACTCTTACATTATGGTCTGCGCTCGCAAGAAGCAAGTCCCTGCAAGCAACTATGGCGTAAAGTGAAACACTCCCCAAGAAAAATGACGAGAGAAAAGAGGAAGGAACTCGATAGCAACGACACTGAATTGATTGAGGGAGAGAGAGAGGAGATCAGAGCATTTTATGGAAAGGAGAGCGCTTAGATAGATTCTCTCGATTTATGGACGCTTCTGGAGCTGCTTCAAAGCTTTGGGAGTTACTGACAGACAGCGATGTGCGCTCGGGGATCAAATAATCGGGCCCCAGTTTTGAGAATTCACACAAAGTTGGTATACACACGAAACGCACGCAATGCTGCTTGGAACCTGCGTGAAAGCGACCATCATGGTGATTGTTCCTGCTTCATCACAACGTAAGAAAGCGATACAAAACTTAAAATAAGAAAACTGTCAGCGTACCTCTGTTCCTCTCAAGGATTAGAGTCTGTGTCCGCAGCTGATGCATCAGGCTGCTGCTTCTTGTTCTTCTTCCTTTTGCTCTTCTTGTCCTTCATCCGCTTCTTCTTTTCGTTGAGATCAATCCAAGTGTAATCTTCCGGAATGAGGAAAGGATCAGGCTCTTCTTTCAGATGGTCCTCCAGGAACACCGCCTTCCCTGTGCTCTGGGAGCTCCTTATCCACGGAATCCAGGAGCTTGAAGTAGACGAAGACTCTCGAGGGGCCTTTGGTCCCTTCAGAGGAACCTCTTCGTCATCAAACTGGCTAGGACTCGACAGTGGAGTGTGAAACTCTTCGGGTTCCAGCTCCACAAACTTGCTGAAAGTCACGACCACTCTGATTGTCGGGACAACCGGTATGGCCATCTGCAAAGAAAAAGAGAATAATACAGTCGAGAAGATCCAGAAAGTGCAAAAATCCAAAGTAAAGTCCGTACCTTTACAGGAAAAGTTCCTGGCGGAAGCTTTGTCGTGAGTAGCTCCCGTAATCTCCGAATGGCTTTCACTTTACTGGCTAAAACGTCGAGCAGAGGTATGAGCTCTTCCGTTTTAAGTGGAAAATCCTTCGTTAACCACAGACTTGGACGTAGACCTTTCTTGTATTCGCTCTCTGTGTCGTCACTGGCAGGAACTTTGGACCGAACTGCTTCCCTGCTACTGCTCTGCCTTCCAATCTTTTCTTTCCCTTTCCTTGACATGCCCTCCTCCGCTATAAAGTCCGAATGCCGTCTCAACAGCTTTGAGTCCGGATCATTGTCAGCTGGTCCTCTCTCGTCAATGTTAACAGAACCCCTGTACGGAACGACCTTCTTCGTGGTGTCTCTGGTGGTGTTCTTCTTCGGGAACCGGAACCATTTCTTCTTCTCCTTCGATGGTACTCGCCTGAGTTCCTCGTGATCGTCTTCTTCCGCTAGAGCCTCCGCCAGCGTACCATTCGCAAGGCTTGATCTAGCCTCCACAAACCCCTCGTCGTCGAACTCCCCACTCTGGACCCGTAACGCATTCGTAAGCTGGTGTTGCTCATCTTCTGTGAGTAAGTCCTTATACCCTCCATCGTCATACTCCTCGTCCTCTTCCTCCCTCTCTTCGTGCACGCCAAACAGCTCGGCGTCGCTCATTGCCCCCGGGACCCTTCGCGAGCGAACGCTGATCACAACGTGGTGCATGTCATAAACTTTGCTCTTCCACTGCCCGACCATCTCCACCTTTTCTTGTTTCCTCCAAGTCAAGTTGGGGACAAGCTCGGCCCCTGTGACGTCAATCCCCGGACGGTAAACATTCGTCTTAGACATAGCTGCCACCTCCTGAGCTATATCCATCTCGGACTGTGGAGCTCCGGCCCCCTCCAACGCGTTCATCACCTCCTTCTCCTTGTGATTCAGTAGACAAAGCGAGCCTGGTGGGAGCTTCCCGTCCGGGGTCCCGTCCCCGAGAAACAAGAAGCTCTGGTCACACCGCTGGATCCAAAACCCATCGAAGCCTGCCAGAGTCATATCCGCCCTGAGGTTGGATCCCCGCTTCCATATCTTGTATGTATCGGATGGAGCAATGCGGCCGATGAACGGGATCACGGAGCTCTCGAAGTTGAAAGTCACCTCCATGTAAAAGTCACGCATCCTCGTCATGGAGCCGATGATCCTTGGCAAGCGCCGGCACCACTTTGCCCAAGCTAGAGGCTGGTAGTACTTGATGATGATCATCGCAAGAGCGTCCTGGCGAGTACACACGGCCTCTTGCAAGGAGCTCCATCCTCTCTCGTTCTGCAAGCTCCAATCGGCGCCTTTAGCCATGAGCATGTCCACTGCTGTAGCGTCTCCCAGCCGGACAGCCAAGTGAAGTGGCGTCTCCTTCCCTGGCACATCGCGCCTATCGATCACCGAAGAGAGCACCTCGGCTTTCTCCTCCGCTCGCAGTGACTCTGCCTCGAGCTTCACCTCTCCAGCCTTGGGGAGATTTGGAAGCCCATTGAGAATCCGTCGAAGCAGCGCGTGATCGCCCCGGGCAACAGCCCAATGAGCTGGGCTGTGGCTGTAAGGCGATTCCTCGTCGATAATCTGCCCCATGGTTCTTCCCGCCGCTACCACTGCTCCTTTCAGCTCATAGGCCGGCAACACGAATCTGGAATCGAGCAGCAGCTCACGGCGAATCCGAGCGGCGGCGTCATCGACAATGCGGGCATCAATCGTACCTCGCTAGCTCTCGCCGCGATCCGCCGCGCCTGCCCGCCCCCATTCCTCCAGGAAAAACCCTAGGCGCTCGTGCCTGTAGACTAGGGTTCGTCCGCCATGGCCACAGTGTTCGGTTGTCCCTCCACGCAGCCAGCCCATCTCTTTGAAGATTCGATAGATCAGGCGCATCGCAGCCGTCCATCTCTCCAAAATTCACGGGAGAATATACTAATCTTTAAGGCGATTTTTAAAAAATGAATCTCCGGAGATATGCCCCGCTCTTGCCGCCAAAACTATCCAAGAAAAAAAAGCCCCAATTGCTTCGCAAGGGAGTGATCGATTCGACTCGTGCAGTCGACGAAAGCGATGAATCATCGATGGACCAACAGAAGATCTGGCGTGCGATGCGATCAAACACCGCCCTGGCTATGGCGGCAGCCTGTTCATTGCCCTGGTCAATGCAAGCGTAATCTGCGAGAAAATTTCTCCACAAGATCCCGCTATATGAAACTCCATCGTCATACGAGCAAGATCTTCCCTGTAATTCACATTTGCCGGCTCTGCCACGCCCCCGCCCTAATTAGGGCATCCAGACGTGCGAACACGTGTCAGCATCCTAGCGGTTCCTCCTTCTTTAGCCTAAGTGTGGCGGTTAAGTTTTAACTGCGGTCGGTTAGCGAGGGTTTAACTAGTCTTTGGCGCCCATTCTTTGTTCTTCACCCGCTTTCGCGTACGCGGTTGGGGCGGTGCCAACGTCGCCAGATCTGGCCAGGTTTCGCGAGCGCCGAGCTTGAATTCGTGGACTCCGGTATGCCTCGCTCTCAAATTTCTCCATTTCCTTCCTAGGGATCTCAACGCTGTGTCGCGCAGCGCGAATCTTTGGATCTTGGCCGCGAGACCCGCGCGGCTGATCAGTGACAACGCTAGATCCTAGCTAGCGCGCTCGAAAGGTTTGGGATTTCTTGCTCCTCGGAAAGCATTCTCCTTCTTTTTCCCCTTGGTAGGGCTTTTGGATCATCCAGCGCCATGAGGCCCGGAGCGGTCCCTCTCCTCCTCCTCGCATCGATTCTACTGCTCCTCCACACCGGCATTGTCGTCTCGCAGCTTCCGCCGGCCGGGGCGCCCGGGCCCGGCCCCTCCTCGTTCTCTCCGGCGCCCTCTCCAGAGCTCTCAAACCCTGAGAACGCGCCAGTTCCAGCTCCAGGCCCTTCCAGCGGTAGCGCCGAGCCTCCGTCGCCATCTCCATCGCCCTTCTCCTCCCCAGCACCAGCTCCATCAGATGGCGACGAGGGCACGGGCAATTCCTTCCCGCCGCTCTCTTCGCCGCCAGGATCACCACCCACTTCCGCGGCCGCGGAGAACCAGCCGGTGGACAGGGTCAGCAGTGGTGGTGGGAGCTCTGGGATCTCAGGTGGAGCCAAGGCTGGGATCGCGTTTGGGGTGATCGCGGGCGTGATCTTCGCGGTCGGTGGAGGCTACGTTTACGTGACGAGAAGGAACAACGAGAAGCGAGCCTCGGGTCCTGGTGGCATGCGCTTCTAGAGAAGATTTAATCGTCTTTGTCGGATCGATCGACTCTACTTCCACTTGGGCGATTAGATCGACAGGCAAGCGAATTCTTTCTTTCTTTTTTTTTCTCCATCTTCCATGGTTTGGTGGTTTAAATTCGTCGGGTGATCCATCGTCTTCTCTTCCTTCCGGGCCCTGGAATCTGGATCTACCAGGAACAATTTTTGCAGAAGATCTTCTCATCCTTTTATTACAATTACTGTTTTGCTACGGGGTTCTTCGTTCTACCTCTTGTTATTTTCACTCCTCATAAATAGATCGCTTTCGTTTCATCAATGGTGTTTTTCGCAGCCAGAGAAAAGTTCTCTCCTTTACGCTGAGAATTCGTCTTCACAGTGGCTTGCGAGCCAGGAAGAAGTACATTGGAGTGAAGATCTCCTTCCTAAAAGCAAACGAAAGAGACCAGAGTGAGAAACAAATCAAGAGATGGAGAAAATTTTTACGTACTTGCCACCCGCGACGAGACCATCAGCGCCTTTCTCGAGGAACTGGCTCACTCGGCCGCTTCCCTCTGGGGCGACTTTGATCGACTCGAGAACCCAGACAAGGTTGCGAGTGAAGAATCTGCCGAGACGAGTTAGGCGGAAGCTCGACAAGGAGAATCGGCCAGGGTCGATCGGCAAGTACCACGGAAGCGGGGATGTCTTTGCTAGATCATCCTCGACGAGTATCTAAAGAACCAAGAGACATATCAAGAGAGGAGAAGAAGAGAAAACATTCCATACCTCAAATCCTGCTTCCTTGGCTGCCTCGAGGCATTGTCTCGTCGTTCGAATGTCTGGCAAGCCGTTTCCAAGCTCGATCTCGGCCTGTTTTGGAGAGAAGCTTGTGAATTACTTACAACAGAGAGATGAAAGTTTACCTTCATCTTGTTGTGGTGTTCGTTGTGAGGATCATACGCGTCTGTCATGCACCACTCGTAAGCTGCGAAGCACTGCCCGGGCTTGAGGACTCTCCAGATTTCTTTGTAGCATCCAACCTGTGCGATGTTTTCACGAGAAGTTGGAAGAAAGAAAAAATTTAAGCTTACGGCATCTGGAGCATGGCAAGTGGCCTCGATGGCGTAAACAGCGTCGTATGTGTTATCCGCTAAAGGCATTTTCATGAAATCCGCCTGCAAACGCAAGGTTTGACATCGAACAAAAATTAAAAAATAAAAAAGCATGTAAACGTACCTTGACGAAATCGCAAGTCTTATCCAAGCCATACTTTTTGTTGAGTTCCTATACGACAAACAAGCGAGAACTTTAGAGCGAGAAACGAAGATTATCTCGTAGCTCTACTTACAGTCCCCCGTGATATCTGATAGCCATTATTGTTCAAACCCGTAATAGATGCTCCACTGTCACGCAAAGTCACAAAAGGGTAAAAGGAAAACAGATCAGCGAATCTGTGAAACGATAACCCAGTCAAAAACAACTCTGCCTGATACCTGAACCGCGCAATCTCTCGCAAGGGTCCACCGATTCCGCAGCCGACATCCAGCACCTCGTCAAGTTTACGCATAGATAAATAGATCACCTTTGCATCATCAAACTATACCTTCATTTCAGGCTTCAAGCCCAGATGAAGCGCCAGGAAATGCTCGTGTCTCTTGATACTTTCCTGTAGTGTTTCGTCCTGGAACCTGGAGACAAGGAGACATCACGTCCAGTTTACGTCCTCGACATGGAAACAATCAAAGTCGCATGGCTAGTTTGCTAATCCCTGTAGCATTTCTGCAAACTCCTCCATCGATTCAAGCCTGGATTATGCAAAGGCGCATTACCTGTTGGCGAAATGGAAGGATTGTCCCCAGCCATATTCGTAGAAGCTCGTCGCTAGATCGTAGTACTTGTTCACCTGAGCAGTAAAATAGATAGAAAACCAAAGAAGAAGAAGTTCAGCACAAACTAGAAAAAGGAAGAAAAGCTTCGTCCAAATCATTTGATAAGCTCCTCACCATATCCGTGTAGTTGAATTTGCGCTTGTCCTCCTCGCCCCCATAAAAGGAGTGATACTTTTCATATCTACAAGCACAAGAGAATGCATGAGGGCAGCAATGCGTGAGCGCAAGAAAATAACGGATCTATCAATCTACAATCTATCAATCGCCCGGATCCACTCCAAATCCACGCGGAGCGACAGAAAGAAACGCTTACTGATCCACCGCTGACGCCAGATCGCGGCGACTCAGGTTCCCTCCCAGCCCGGACGCCAGATCCATCGCTCCAGCCTTGGCCATTGCGCTCAATCCAGCCCTAAAAAGAAGAAACGAATATGCTATTCCCCCTGGGGAATGTTCTATTAGGGCAAGGGTAAAGGGTGGAGTACACAAAAAAGGTGGCGAATCTCGATTTGATCGAATCTATGATTGGTCAAGTGTCGTCCAAGACCTCCTATGTAAGAACCACAAAAAAACAGATGTTGCTTGTCCGTCATGTACAAGAAACGAATCCTTTAGCGAATCTTTTCGGCACACCGCATATCATGGAAAGAAGGTCCTGGGCGAATCGGAATCGTCCGCAAAGCCGGTCGCGGGGGGGTCCAGCCGGGCGCGGCTGGGCGACGGGTCCTCGAGCATCCGGAGGAGCATCCCCGGTGAATATTCCCCGGTATATCCCGGGTATACCCGCGGGGACTGGGAAAATATCTGCTCGAGCGAGAGTATATCCTGTGGCGGATGAGCCTGTGGGAGCTGCCACGAAGCTGCCGTGGATGGCGTTGGAAGGTTCGAAGAATCTCCTCCGGACGAGGCAATCGTTGGCGGTGGTGAGAGATGGTGGTGTTGATGGTAGTGATGCTGGGGATTGATCGTCTGGAGCGGCGAGATGGCGGCGGAGATGGATCGCCGCTGCCACAAGCTGCTGGGATTGCTGGAACTCGTCTCGAATTGCTGCTGTGGCGGCGGTGGCGGGGGATGGAACTGCGAGGATCCGGAGAAACCCGAAAGACCTTGGAACGCGAATGGCGGGGCGCCAGCGCTGGCGCTGCTGGCAGCGGTGACGCCATCGCTGCTGGCCCCGCCGCGGATCTGGATCTGATCCAGGAGATGGAAGTTGCCCGACATGGTGCCACCGACGCGAAAGGAATTGGCCACGCTGGCGCTGGCGGTGGAGAGTGGCGGCGAGGAGGAGGACTTGACGATCCCGGCGCTGGCGACGCTCCTGGTGCGATTGGACTCGTTTGGGAAGTTGAGCTTGGCTTTGCTCCCCCGGAAGCGCAGCGCCGCCATGTCGTAAGCTCGCGCCGCGTCCTCGGGGGTATCATACGTCCCCAGCCACACTCTGGCGGCCTTCTTGGGATCGCGGATCTCGGCGGCCCATTTGCCCCATGGCCGCCGCCTCACGCCCCGGAATCGCGGCCGCGGGTTGGAGCCCGGCACGCAAACAGGGGAGTGCTCTGCTGTCGTTGTTCTTGGCGCGGGGGGCGCGATCGCGAATGTCGGTGGCGGAGGCACCACCGCCGAGAGATCGTAGCTGCTGGACGAGGAATCCGGGGACACCTCCGCCTTGGGCGATTGGATCCCCGCGAAGTCGATGCTGTTGAAATCAAACTGGGTGATGCTGCTCGCGCTCCAGCCTAGCGACGATGAACCGGCCGCGCTCGTGTCATGATTCATCACCGCCAACATTCCTACTTGCGCGATCCTCCCCTGTGAAGCTTGCCTCGTCGTCGCGAGGATCTTTCCTCTCCCTGCGAGAATGAGAATTCGGTGGCGATTCTTATACCAGCGGCGGGCGAACGCGCTGCTTTACTTCCAAGAATGGGCAAAGTCAGCGACCCCCACCTTCGCGCAAAATCAATGTGAGTTGCAAGTCAGCGCGCTGCGATGGTATATATGGCGCTCAACCAAGAAACCCGAGATATAGCTCGCGGCACTCGTTTTAACTCGTCTCGACCCGGCTCCTCGTGTCCCGCCAGCTGGATTGGCGAAAAACGTTGCTTTTGTTTGGGATTGGGGAGAGAGGGTGAACCTTTTCCTGCTTTAAAGAGCTTTCGGGAACTCTCGCAATGTGAAACCGGCCAGCAGCTTCGTGGGGTTTTGTGCTTTTAAGCCCTGTTCATTTAAGCGCATTTTGATTAGGGTTTTCTTTTGCGCATGTGTTTCGCATTTGTCGTGGGAATATTTCTTGCTTTCTGTGATATGTGTACCACGACGGAATTCCTGGCCGCCGCTTCGCCGCTGATCTTCGAGGTTTTAGGATCTGGTCGGTGATGGTGAGTGGAAGCTGCTCGCTTTCCATGGCTGGGTTTCGCGGGAGCTTCCTTTCCTGTCAGGGCGAACAAGGCATTGACTGACAGTGTGGGCGTTGACTAAGGAGTGCTTTCACACTCGCAGGGCCCGTGGTCACAGAGTGGTTGACCGCGCGGGTTTTGGTCGGTAGCCATGGAGATTGGGTGAATTGGGATCTCATCTGTCACCTTTTCGTGCTTGCGTCACCATCGCGACTCGATTCTGTGATTTCCTCGCTTTGTTTGTCTACTAACTTTGAATTCCGGGGGGGGCTTTCAAGTTGAAGTTTCAGAATTCTGCACCTGCACAACGGCCACCATAAAAAAAGGTGGCGACGCAGGATTCAATGGTTTTGTTGAGGTCTTCTGCGACTTTGGCACTACTGCAACAATTCAATCATCTCATCTCGTGGGCTTCAAGTTGCCGGCGCAAGAATTCGAAGCTTTTTTGTTTTGTGGAAGTCAACCCTGATACTTTTCCAAAGAGGGGACAAACTAAACAAAAAAAAAAGGAAAGGCTACCTACGCGGGAAAATCCTTCTTTTGCTGTAGAAACTCGTACTTGCTATCACTCACTCTCTTGTGTGTCTCACGGAAATGTAGTGTTAATATGGCTGCGGGTCATTTTTCTCAAGCTATGAACATCGCTCGCGCGCCAGCTTCTACTCCTCATCGTCGTCGTCGTCTGGCTCTTCTTCTTCTTCTTCAAAACCATCGGCAACTCGCTTTGCGCCCTGAGATCTTGGATGTGATTAAAAAGAAAAACACTGAGACAAGCTCACCGTTCCGTCTTCATCGTCCTCTTCTTCGTCTTCATATTCATCCGAGTCGCCATCCTGCCACTTTTCGTCAGAACCGGGAATTGGAAAGTAATGCACAGCATTATACATTGTTGAAGTACTTCAAAGGATTGGGCCACAAATCCTCTTTGATGACATCCGCGACCTGGAGAGCATGGCCTGAAGGATTAGAAACAGACGCAGTTTTTTCTTTCGGTACCTCGTCTTGAATGCCCTCGGTCGTTTCCTTCTGTTGGCTATCGTTAAACCACTTGAAAAAGCTGCGGGGAAGAAAACGATGAAAGATTGTTGAGCAAATTAAACAAACCTCTCTTCTATTAAAGGCCGTTTGTTGCCTTCCTTTTCTACAGCGGCCCCGTTTGTTAAATCCTGTGAACAAAACCAAGTCAGTTGCGCAAGAAATCAACTAAGCTCTGCGTTTACCATTCCGTCTTTCCATCGAATCTTCGTGCCAGAAATCGACGTTGTACCTTCATCGGAAAACCGGAAAACCTTTACTAGTTTTGTATCTTCAAAGTATGGGTTTGGTTTGAACGACTGTCCGAGACACACACACAAAAAAAAAAAAAAAAAAAAAGAACAGAGAAGGAATTGAAACGCTTAATAAATGCCGAGGGAACGTGCAGAGAACGACTTACGAATGTGATGCAGTATCCAGATTTCACGTCTTTGAAATCCTCTACATCCAAAGACTGTAGATGCTTGAAAACCTGTGTTACGTGTCAATCAATGCCAGACTTGAGAAAAAAAAAAACATTTTTTTGAATGGAGGCAAACCTTTTGGTCCTCCTCGCTTAGCAGATCGCATAGAACTGGATGGCTCAGAAACTATGATCCACACACCCCCGACTTAGTGACAAAAATGGCCTACATTCTCTCCACTTACAGCAGTGAGCCAGAAATCCGGTATACTTCGAATAATCTCGTTCCTCTTGTTGTAAACGGGCCGCCGGATCTCATTGTACTTCTGCTCAACTTCCAGAACTTTATCACTAGCTTCCTCGTTTACCTGTCAATCCAATTCACGCTCACTGAGCACTCGCAAAATCCCCAAAATTCCTCAGTACCTTCTCAAGTTCGTCTTGTACATCCTGTAACTTCTCAATAGCGCTAACTAGCTCGTTATCTACCTCCGACACTTCCTCATGGTCCGCCTTGGCCTTCTTCTTCTCCGCCATGGCCCCAATGGCTGCCACAAAGCGCTTAAACCCTACCCAAAACCCTGGGAGTGAGAAAACAACGAATAAAACCTCCACAAACCAGCAGCCGCACGACCAGCGCCTCCCGCGCCCGCGCCCGCGCTCGCTCCCTCGGACGCTAGAACCCTAATTGCGGGCCGCCACTATAGCTCCGTTAGCTTCCCTTCGTTAGCAGGCTCGGGCATTCTAGGTCTGGTCCACGTACTACTCCACGTCACTGGACACGTCACTAGGCCACGGACAGGTGAATTGCCGTGACACGCGTCAGCAAAAGCACTGCGTTGTCGCAGCCAAGTGGGAGGTGCCGGGTTCGAGCTTCTTTCCTTCTATTCCCACGCCATTCCGGGTCATAATGACCAGGGGATGGACGGTGAGATCCGAGGTATCTCGCAACGCCATGGACTTAGGGCTTATAGCAAGCACAGCAGCGTCCTCCTAGCTGGAGCTGCCAAATGCGCTGCCGCAAGGGCTCCTGCATTGGCCCCGGCTCTGCTACGTGGAAATTGTAGCTGGGAATCGCCGAATCGAGCAGCTTTGGTTGCGTCAACGGGCGCGAGGCGCAATGCGTAATATCGCTCCAGCTCCAGCTCCGATTCTATCTTAGCGCTTGTTTCTAGAGGTGAATCGCTGCTCGCGGGCCAGGGATTTCGAGTTTTTAGGTAGTGGACACATGTCTGGGAGTGGAACTCCATCATGAAAGAGGCAGTCTTGATCGCTGCTGTTGCCGTGTTGATAGCTCCTTGCATCGTCCTCCTGGCGTGCGCAATTAAGCGGCGTTGCTGCTCGGCCTCGACCGATGAAGAGGTAATTGGTTCTTTCTTTTCTTTCTAAGTGTGTAAGTTCTAACTCTTTTTCTTCTTTGTCTTGTAGGATGCAAATGAGTCTCTCCTCTCCAAAGATTTCTCCATTGGAGAGACTCTCAAGCGCCCAAACTTTGGGAACAAGAAGGAACCCAGGATTGAGGCGTCGGCCACCATCGTCTCTCGCGACTCTCTAGTGGTTCCGAATTTTCACGAAAGGCATTCTCTACCATCGTCGGGTACCGGCGCACAACGTAAGCCAGTCGCCTAAGCATGCTTTCTTTGACTTCCACTGTTTTCTTTTCTTTTTAAATCTTGACACTGTTGGTTTGGCAGACGCAGGTAGTAGCATAAGCTTGGAAGTTCTTACTGGGCCTTCGGCGGGTAATCGCCTTCTCAGAACGTTGCCGGAAGATGGCGGACTCGCCTTGTCGATCGGCCGGATTTCTCAAAACGATCTTGTGTTGAACGATTCCGAGGTCTCCGGAAAGCATGCAGTGATAAACTGGAACTGTGACGTAAGTTTCCTGGTCTTGTGCTTCATACGTGGACTCATCGTCGTTAGACGTTTCAGGTTTCACGATGGGAGCTTGTAGACTTGGGTAGTCTAAATGGAACACTCCTAAATCACAGGTCCATATCCATTTCCGGACCTCGCAGACGTCGAAGCGCACCTGTTGGTCTTACCAGTGGTGACGTCTTGACGTTAGGATCGACCTCTCAAATACTCGTAAGTATCATACTGGAATCTTCTTATTTGCTGCTTTCTTACACGAGAGTTCGTGCAGGTTCATCTCTCAGCTTCGAAGGACGCCAAGTTCTCTGTATCTTCGGTGCCATTTGGTGTTGGGGTGGCTGCAGATGCGATGACTTCTCGGAGGGAAAAATTGTCAATGGAAGATGTCTGCCACTGTGAGTGGCCACTGCGAGGACTTCAGCAGGTAGTACTTTTGTGTTCATTGGACAGTGGTTTAAGCATTTTTGTGTCATCCAGTTTGGAGTCTTTTGCATTTTCGATGGGCACGGCGGTCCTGCAGCAGCCGAAGCTGCTAGCAGGTATGTTCATTCAAATGTGTATACCAGAGCTGTATGGTGAAGCCTCGTTTTTTGTTTTTCAACAACAGGATTTTACCACAGAAGTTGTCGGACATTCTTACGGTGGAAGGAGAGAGGATCGACGTCCTAACTCAATGTGATGCGGCTAAAGTTTTAAAAGATGCATTCAAAGAAACTGAAGAAGCCTTGAATTGCGAGTACGAGGTGAGTTGTATGTAGCTGTGCTCTATGGGTCAGAATGTGTAACCGTTCTATTGCTGACTTCCAGGGTTGCACAGCCACAGTTCTTCTATTATGGTCAAGCGTTGGTCAGGAGTATTTCGTGCAATGTGCCAATCTCGGTGATTCATCGTGTGTTTTAAGGTTTGTGTCTGCTTTGATTATGGTAGTTCCAGAACTTGATTTCATTCTTTCAGTGTCGGAGGAAAGCCGGTTGTCTTGACAGAGGACCATAGGCTTACTAGTCCAACAGAGAGAGCACGGCTTCTGGAAATGGGACGAAAGCTAAAAGATGGCGAAACCCGCATCTGTGGTAAGTTCTAAAAACGTCTCCTTGCACTGGTTGGTAAATTGTTTTGCTGTTTGGACTGGTTTTCCAGGGATGAACATAGCACGGGCTCTGGGTGATAAGTTCCTCAAGGAGGAAGAATCCTGCTTCTCGGCGGAGCCTTACGTGAGCAAAGTCCTCAAGATCACCAAGGACAGCAAAGGTATAGTAGTCATGGGAAGCGACGGGCTCTGGGACGTGCTAAGCCCGATCAGAGCTATTCAGCTGGCGATTGAGGTATGTTCCCTTCGATGTATTTTACCCCGCTAACTCGCGCGCTCAGGCTCGGGACGGTCGGTCCACGATCGATGGCCGGATGCCACTCCCACCGATGAACGCCGAAGAGATCGCACAGCTGCTAGTCGGCAACGCTCGTCTGCTCAAGACCAAGGACAACACGAGCGTGATCGTGCTGGACTTCTTCCCGGCATCGGCAACGAATAACCCCAGCGTTTGTACACTATGATGCGGTGATCACGAAGAAGATCCACGAGGAAGAATCGAGTCGCGAAGATGAAGCACAGAACATTAGAGGAGGTAACATTTTCCTGTACATGGCTAGTAGCTAATTGTTTTCTGGAGGCCTTCGAGCACAGACAGCCTGATTGGAAGGTGTCTCGGTGCCCGATTAGAGCTGATGATGAAAATATTCCTGGTTTGGCATTATCGAACGGATCATATCCTGCCACGTCACGTCGTAGAATATGCTTAGCACTTAAGCTTGCTTAACGGTAGGTTAAAGTGGGAAAGGTCAGATCTAAGAATAAAACAAGAATATGCTTCTTTATACCTCTCGTCCCTTAAGTTAGATAGAATATTCTAGAATAATCTCAGAGGGCGGAGAACATGCCCAGCAAGAGCTTGCAAGTGCCACTGGCGGCGGCGATGGGATCGTCAAGCTCGCCGAATTCGAATGCCTGCGCCGCTGCGCTCGCGCCGTGCTCGACGTCGCAGTGGATCCGGCACGCCGATAGCAGGCTCATCCAATCCGCGGCGCTGGATTCGTAGGGCTTGGCCCGGATGAGTGAGCGCGCCTCGCCAATCTGCCCCAGCCGCGCGAAGAGATCCCCGATCGCACTGTAGTGCTCTGGCGTGGCTGCGATGAAGAAATCCGCCGCCATGGATTGGAAGCACTGCCCGGCCTCGACGATCCATCCCGCGTGGGAGCACGAGCTCAGCACCGCCACGAACGTCACGGCGTCCGCGATCGCCCCGTCCAGCTGCATCGCGTGGAAGCTTTGGATCACCCCAGTGCCGCTGCCGTGGTTCGCGAATCCCACCAGCATGGAGTTCCAGGCCACCGTGTTCCTGGCAGTGATCCTATCGAAGCATCGCTGGGCAGCGTCTAATCCGCCGATCCTGGTGTACATCGCCACCAGCGAGCTGCCCACGACCGGATCGTGATCCATCCGGCGCGCGATCGCTTGCCGGTGGATCGCTCTCCCCTCGGATACCGCCGGCGGTACCGCGCTGGCACAGGCATCTATCACCGCCGCGAAGGTGGAGGCGTCGGGCTGGAGCTCACGATCGAGCTTCTCCAGCTCGCGGTAGAGCTCCAGGGCTTCGATGGAGTGGCCGCTCCTCGCGAATCCAGCGATCATAGCGTTCCACGTCACGAGATCGACGCGCTCATCCCTGGCGCGCATGGAATCAAACACGCGCTTGGCTTGATCCACGCGCCCACACCGAGAGTACATGTCGAGCAGCGCGGTGGCGACGACGCTGCGGCGATCGAGGTCGAGCTCTGCGCAGCGTTTGTGGAGGGCGATCCCCAGCGCCAGATCGCCCAGCTCCGCGCAGGCATCCAGGAGCGTCGTGAGCGTCACCTCGTTGGGCGGTAGATCCATCTCGTTCTCGAAGAGATCGATGGCCAATCGCGGAAGGCCATTGTGAGCGAGCCCCGCGATGATGCTGTTCCAAGAGCGGAGGTTTCTCTCGGGCATGGCGTCGAATGCTGCGCGTGCCGCGGCGGTATGCCCGTTTTGGGCATATGCCGAGACGAGCGCATTCCAGGACACCACATTCCACGCTGGCATCCGGCGGTGTACCGCGGCAGCATGGTCGGGGTCCTTGCCCATTGACGAAGCCGTCACCATTGCGGTCCACGCCACCACGTCGCGCCGCGCGGTATCGTCAAACACCGACTTGGCGCTGGCGGTATCGCCATTCAGGGCGTGCGCCACGAGCAGCGTCGTCGCTAGCGCGATCGATCGCGGCTCCGGGGAGGGGGAGGACGAATTAATTGCTGCCGCCGCGGTCATTTCTATCAGCAACCTCGCCTCCTCCTCGTCGGGATCCATGCCCAGCTTGGAGTTCTTGCCGCTGGCCGCCACGATCGAGCTCCACGACACGGCGCTCCACTGCGGCATCCGGCCCAGTACCGCGGCGGGCCGGGCCAGCGCTGGCTGAGCGACGCACAGCGCGAGGTACGCGTTCCACGCCACCAGGGTACGGTGAGGAAGCGTCTCGAAGAGGTACCGCGCGGTATCCCACCGCAGGCACCGCGCATAGGCGGCCACCACGGCGAGTACCGCCGCGGTACCGTGCTCGGGCATCTTGTCAAACGCCTCAAATGGGATCATCGAGCAGCCAAGCTCGCACAAGATGATCCAGCTCACGGCATTGCGATGATCCGGCATCCGATCAAAGAGATCTTTGGCTCCAGCGGCGTCGCCCGCGCGCGCCATCCCCGAGAGCACGGCATTCCACGGCACAAGGTCCCACTGCGGCATCGATTCGAGCAAGATCGCGGCGGCCTGGCGGGGCGTTTCGCAGTGCTGCGCGTATCCGCCCACGAGCAGCGTCCACGACGAGAGATTTCTGTGCGGCATCGCTGTGAAGAGCTCGCCTGCGTCGCGGAGAGAAGAAAACTCGAGCAGTCCCGCGAGGAGCGAGTTCCACGAGATCACATCCGTCCGGGGCATGGAAGAGAGGATCGATCGAGCTCGATTCACGTCCCCGGAGCTCGCGAATCCGGAGAGGATGACGTTCCACAGCGCCAGCGATCGGCTTGGCGAGCGATCGAAGAGATCCATGGCACAATCCAGATGCCCCTCACGGGCATTTCCTGCAATGACTGTGATCCACGAGATTGCGTCGTGCGAGGGCATCTTGGAAAAGATTTCTTGGTCCTGATCCACGTCTAAGAGACTGTTCCACGAGACTATATCTCGGCAAGGCATCGTATCAAACACCCTCTTCGATTCTTCACAGTGATGCGCAATCAAAACATTCCAAGTCACGACGCTGTGCTGGGGAGCACGATCAAACAGCAACTTTGCTCGATCTAGATCGATCTCCGCGTACTGGGAGATGACAATGTTCCAAGAAATCACGTCTTTTTCAGGCATTGCCACGAACAATGCCTGCGCTTTCAGGTAATGCCCGTTCTGGGCAAATGTGCAAAGCAGGCTGTTCCACGAGACTACGTTGTGCTGTGGCATCTTTAGCAAGCATTGAGACACTTCATCAACTTTGTGACTCCACGAAAAACTCTGACACATTGTGTTCCAAGAAACCATATCACGCTGTGGGCTTGAATCAAACATCGACTTTGCGTTCTGAAAATGCCCGTTTTGGGCATATGCAGTAACCATGATGTTCCATTGCACTGTGTCGGGGTTGTCAATCTGATCAAACAATTTGCGGGCATCCTCGACGCTCCCGCACTTGCCAAACATTCTCATGAGCTGATTCGTGGTGAGCTTGTCCAGACAGTATCTGTTTTGTTGGAGAAGGGAGTAGAGATGTTTTGCCTGTGACAAATCCCTTTGTGCTGCAAACACGCGTATCCGGCTGAGCAAGTCTCTGGTCGGTGGACTTGCTCGCATGTGCAAATCATGTCCCAGCTAAGCAGTGGAAAAGTGGAGAATTTTTTGCAGAACAATCCAAAAGCCCCAAATCTTTGATTCCCATGACCATTGAAGATAAACCAAAATAGACAATGGTGGGAGAAAAGGCTTTGATTCGTCCACTGACTTTCAAGTGAGTTGGCAAATTGGCTGCATCTGCGCGCTCCGATCCTGGATCCGATCCCAGGATCAAATTTTTTGCCACTGTTGTAAGTATGCCATACATGAGTTTTTTCTTCCTTTGTTTGTGCTGATGGTGCCTTCTTAAATATGAAAACGAGAGCGCCAGCACAGGCATGGAGTCAAATCCCCCGGATTGGCTGCCAATTCATTCATATTCCAGTACTTTCCCTGTGGATTGATTTGGACAGTAGAAGGAGCGAATGGAAGGAAGAGGAAGGAAAAAGAAACCCAACTAAAAACAGAGTGTGGGAGAAAAGAGAAAATATCGAGAAATCAGCTGTTCTTCCACTTGCTATTTCGCTCATAGATCCTTTTTTTTCCAGTATCCTCGCCAAATCCTTTCCTTGTCTCTTCATTCAGGCGAGGCAATGCCGACTCAATCCAAACCCCTGCGCTACCTTCTCAATTCAGGGGATTCAATCCCCGCGCTCGGCCTCGGCAGCGTTGGATTCGCCGTGCCCCGGAATGTGATCACTGATGCTATGCTTCATGCAATCAAGGTGTTTCTCTTTCTCTTGCTCACCATGAATCCTTTGTTTTATCTTTGGATTGTTTCCAGATTGGCTATCGTCATATTGACACAGCGAGCTCCTATGGGAGTGAGCCAGCGATTGGCGATGCGCTGTCGAGAGCTTTCAGCAGTGGTATTGTCAAGAGAGAGGAGATGTTTATCACATCCAAGCTATGGTGCGACGATCACGATACCGAGGATGTGATCCCTGCGTTGCGACGGAGCTTAAAGTATGTATAAAATCATGCTTGGAACAGTTCGTCTTTTTTTTTTCTTGCTTGTATAGAAAAGAGAGAGAGATTCGATGTAATCACATTGATCCAGGAAGCTCCAGCTGGATCACTTGGACCTCTACCTGATGCATTTCCCGGTGAAGCTCAAGAAGGGCACTAAGCTCCCGCCGAAGGAGGAGGAGATCCTCCCGGTGGACATCCAGAGCACCTGGCGTGAGATGGAAAAATGCATCAGCCTGGGCCTCGCCAAATCAATCGGTGTCAGCAACTTCTCCATCAAGAAGCTCACCGATTTGCTCAGCTACGCCACAATCACCCCTGCAGTGGATCAAGTAAGTTTTTCAATTCTCTTATCCTTTATAATTTTTATTCTCTTGATGGTTCTTCTCTTGATCCTCTTTTCACAAGGAAAGAGGAAGAAAATAGAACTTTGTCTTGATTGTTTGTGTGTTTAAACTAAAAGAAATGACGACTGTTGCTTGTCAAGGTGGAGATGCATCCGGTTTGGCAGCAGCGACGTCTTCGTGAATTTTGCAGCTCCAAGGGGATTCACGTCAGTGCGTGGTCACCCCTTGCTGCGCCAGGCACGTACTACGGCACCACAGAAGTAATTCACCACCCTGTGATCAATGCCATAGCTCGCAAGCTCGGCAAAACTCCAGCCCAGGTAAGAAAAAAAATTCAAACTTTTCTTTTTAGAATCCAAAGCAAAGACGGGACAAGCCCAAAAACTTCCATCTTCTGCTAAGTTCTAGGATTTCTTAAATTTTTTTCCCAGGTTGCTCTGCGATGGGGGGTCCAGAATGGGGCGAGTGTTCTTCCCAAGAGTTTCAATCCCTCGCGGATTGAGGAGAACTTCGACGTGTTTGGGTGGGATTTGAGTGAGCAACACATGCGCGATCTCCAGGAGATCAGCCAGCGGCGAACGAATACGTGCTGGTTCTTTTGCAATGCCACCAATGGCCCTTACAAAACCCTCCAAGATCTCTGGGACGATGAATCCTAGGATTTATAAATCACACCACCTTTAAGTTTGTAAATTATATGAATACTCCATGTCTCCTTTTGGCTGTGGTTGTCATTATTCGGAAAAACGAAAAGAAAATGCGAAAAAGGCTAAAATCTAAAATATAGGGAGGAAAAAGTTTGAATTTTCCCCTCTGTATTCCACGAGCGCAAAGAAGAGAGGGACTTTAGGTTTGATGAGGACAAGGAGGAAGGGCGTGGATTGATTTTTCTGGGGTTTTGTGGAGCACGCCTTCCATCGTGAGCTGCCGCGGCATTGGCGATGGCGCGGATCCTGGCGCCGCGGCGAGGCGATCTCTCCCGGTTTCTTGGGCGCCGGGACTAATCTTAGCTGCCAGGGTTTTCTTTTCCGCCAAATCGCCAGCTCGGTGTAAGTGATTTCGCTCCTCCTTGCTCGCCAATCTCGCAATGCTGGTAGATCTAGGGCTTTGTCTGGCATTTTCTTGTGGATTTCTTGGCCATCGCTTGGTTCTTGGCGTGTTGGGATGGAATTTCGTCATTTTCTCCTTTGTTCTTTCAGTTTCTTATCAACATTGTTATCCTGTTGTCCTTGCAGCCACACCCAAGGATGGATTTGCAAGCGTCCAAAGACGTGGATGACTGGCGGAGGATCATGGCCATGAAAGTGTCATCCGAGTATGACAGTGAGGCGAGCGTCGTGGTGAACAAAGTCACGGCTCGCATGCTTAATGGCATGGCAAAGTTGAAGGCCTCGTTCCAGAGAGACCCCTCGGGAGAATTCCGGTATCCTTTGCTCGGGCTGGTGACCAAGTATCTCTCCGTGCTCTACGACTACGAAGAAAAGAATGCGCTCGTCACAATGTCTGCAAACTTGGGCCGATATGTGCAAGCGAAGTACATGCAGGACGTCAAGGTCTGTTCGATCGTGCCATGCCTTGAGATTGACGAAAGAGTTCCAGGCGCAAGAAGGCGAGCTGAGAATTATCGCAACGACTAAGGACTCGAGATACAAGGCCGAGATTGCTACCGAAACTCCCCCCACATCCCGGGTAAGGTCTCGCAACTCGGAAGAACTATTGGCATTGACAGTTCAAGTACTTATTCTTTTCTTTGTCAGCCGAGACTAAGCTTCACGTTTCCCAATGGCGAGATCAAACTGGAAGACGAGATGAAGAACGAAGCGCGGGCCTTATCTATCAGCGGCTTCGTTGGTGCGTCACTTGGGAGCGGTGTCTTCGTTGCGGATTACAAGGAAGAGAATGCCTCCCTCAAATACAAGTTCAAAGTAAGCAAATCTCCTCCCACTTTAAATCGCTTGACTGCGACGTTTGTGATCTCATGGCAGGATGAGGAGATGACGCTGTGCCCCACGATATCATGGCCGTCACAGGCGCTAGCAGTGTCTTTCAAGCGGCAGTTTGATGAAGCAAACAAGCTAAGGTTCTTGCTTAGAGTTCAAGCAGTTTGGAAGCTACATTGAATCTTTCGTATCGCAGCTACATGTACAATTTCAACAACGAGGCGTGGAGCGCCATATTCAAGCACAAGGCAACGGAGAACTTCAAGATAAAGATGGGATACGATTCGGACGTGGGAGTGAGCTGGGCGTCAGCGTGGGTGAGCTCTCGTTTTCGCTTTCCTTATTCTATCTGGACGGGAAGACTCTTAACAGAGCGGTTCCTTCTCTTCTTGTGCGTCGCAGGTTGGCAAGGAAGATGAAGGTGCCAAGTCCGCCCCCAAGAAATGCAAGCTCCAGGTGATGCTCCAGCTGCCGCAGAACAATCTCCAGGAGGCAGTGCTCCTCTTTAGAATAAAGAAGCGGTGGGATCTCTGATGAAGAACAACAAGGAGAAGAGGGGCGTGTACCATTACCTGATTCCTTACAAGACCCAGCGAAGGGAAGAGTAAAAGCCAGAGAATTTTTTGGTGTGTGCTCTAACAAGCTTCACCCATTGTTTCATCCTTTTGTTTCGCATGGAAAGAACTCATTGATTGATTTGATTTGATCAAGGGAACTGACAAAAAGAGTTGGCACTAGGCACTTTTGTTCGATTTTCTTTCTCTGTAGCGAAGTATGAGCAAACCTCGTGTTTACTTATTGGACTGGAACATGAAAAGCAAAACGGATTGTACACGCCTGTATAATTACAGCTTCGCGAGATCGTCTCTGGAAGAATGAATGCACGACATGAATGAAGCCTCCTCTTCTCCTGGGTCAGTGCTGCTAGTGCTGGTGGGTGCCTGCCTCGCGCGCGGCATTTAGATTGGAGGACTTCCTCCCTTTCCATGTCTGCCTATCTCTGCGATCACCGAGAAATGAGTGAGCCAGCGAGTGAGTGGTGGTATAAAAATCGCGCACGATCGCGTTACCTCTTTCGTGTGCGCTGGCCACAACCGGAAAGCTCTCGCCCTGCCTCGCTTTCAAGTCACGGCACACAGCGCCTGGTCGAAGTAGCTCCAGAAGCTGGACGATTCCTCCTCCTCGCAGCTGGGCGTCGAGGGGCCGGGAGAGACCGAGTCGCAGGAGCTGATCGCCATCGCCGCCGCTGGGACCGCCGAGACCATCGGATCGTCCTTGTTGAGAATGATGGGCGATTCGCTCCCGCGGATGTTTGGAGCTTGGATGAGAGCGTCGGAGTCGGACAGGTCGGCGGCGGCCGCCGCCGCCGCTTGCGCCGCCGTGTTGTAGACGTGAATGGACGGGGCCACTTTGTATCTGTCGGAGGGAGGTACCCGGATCGAGGGAGACATGAAGCGCGAGGACGCGGCGGAGTAGGACTTGAAAATGTAGTCGTCGCCGCCGCCACCACCTTGATCGTCTTGGAACTCCATCATCATCGTCGTCTCTTGAGGAGCGCGTTCGTTCTCGGACACAAGTGGCCCGTGGTAGCCATTCACGTATGGAAGATCGTGCTTGGCAGGAGGTGGCGGTGGTGGTCTTGGCACCTTGCCAAGCTTCTCTATGAACGCCCCATAGACACTCTTGCTGTGGATTTGCTGTTGGGTGGCGAGCGTTGGCGATTGGAATCCACCACCGAAGGGAGAGGTGCTGTAGAATTGGTGCTGCTGGAGAGCGCGAGGAGCTATGGACTTGCCTGGATCTACAGCGGCGAGCTTGTCTTTGCCGGGGACTTGCTGCGAAGAGAAGCTCTGCATGGGCGAAGAGTCTGAAGAAGATCCACCAGCGGCATGATACAGGCCATGGGGAAATGCCCCCGCTACTGCCACGGCTCCTGGATTGTTGTTGTCGCCGGCGATCAAGGCTTGATTCTCCTTGAGAGCCTCGCTGCCAGACGATCTCATCGCGACGCGCTGAAGGAGCATCCGCGTCGCCTTGGAGAATCGTCCGCTAGCGTTCCCTGGCAGCTTGAAATTGGTCCGGGTGTTGGCGCCGCGGAGAGCTCTCGCGGCGTCGTCGTATGCCCGGGCGGCGTCCTCGGCATTGTCGAAAGTGCCCAGCCACAGCCGGAGCTTCTGCGTCGAATCTTTGATCTCCGCTACCCATCGCCCCGACGGCCTCTGCCTCACACCCACGAATTTCTTCTTTTGCTGCTGCTTGGATCCGCCGCCGCTACTGCTCCTGGAATTCTTCCTGGAAGAAGAAGAATCCTCCTCCGCCGTGGACGATCCTGCAACTGTCACTCCCACACTGGATCCTGCGCCCGGCGGGATCGATGACACCGCCGCCGCCGCCGTCGAAGAATCCATATCTTGGGAAATATTCCACTTTCTTGGAAGCGGTGGAAAGAAAATCCCTGCGATCCGCCGATCCCGACGAATTCCAAGCTCCGCCACAGGAGAGAGGAGAGGAGGAGGAATTCACATCCACGGCGAGCGGATCGCGAAATCCGGACCGGGGAGATGGAGGAATCGGATGGCCGACTGATCGAAATATCATCCAAGGCGCGCAGGAGAGCGAGGAAACCGGATCAAACTGGAGGAATCGAAGCGCGGGCGCCGCGCGTGGATCGAAGCGCTGGGCTGCCAGCGCCACCGTGCGTATTGCCTGTAGTAGAAGAACCCCGGTTTTAGGGCTCGCGGAAATGGCCAGTGTGGCCCAAACCCAAGGACAAGAGAAACCAAAAAGAAACCCCCGCCGCGCCCCAGAGTGGAACCCATCCGTACACTTATAATTCCCCCTCTCGTCCGTCAACTTCCCATAAATTTTGCCCCAGCAAAACCATGTGTGTCATGGTTTTCATTCCCTCACATTGAAATTTCTCGTGAGATTTTCAAACAGGTAAAGATCAATTAGGGCTCTCCCACGTAGTTGTGGGATATTTCGTCGTGCCCTCACACCTTTGCCACGAAAATTTTAAAACTCGAGTAGTGTGAATGGATCGATCTAGCTTGCATTCAAAGCTACAATCATTCGCGCTCGAATTTGTTTAATTCCAAGCACACAAAACAAACCCTTTGGAAACGTGAGACCAGCTAATTTGTGACATTGTCTTCTGCCAAGAGAATAACCATCCCAAATCGATAAAACTATGGGTTAGATGCAATGCACCCCTCAATCCTTTGGGATCTAGATCAAGATGTTAGGTCAACTTGAAACATACAAACAAACCAAGCTTGGATTTGATCAACTTAGAAAAATGGAACAATGGTTACAAACGCCAAGAGAAGCGTGGCATGTTAAATTTTTGTTCGTGCCACCAATGTCCGAATGTCATGCATGGCCAACCAACCAACCGGACCGACGGGTCGGGCACGTCTTGGCCCGCGCAATGCGCCACAAAACATGGAAGCATGTCGCTGAGATTCCTTAGATTTACGCTTTGTCACCTTTTCAAGGTTAGGGTTCTTGCTTGGACGGTGGAATGGAGACAACTGTTTCCATAATTTGGACTATACCGTCAATGATTGAGATGAGGAGAACACACAGTTTGATCCTTCTAATCCGCATTTTGTCGCGATCATCCAATCCAGTCTAAGTTTGTACGGGGAAGACGAGTTTCTTGAAACTTGGAAGATCTCGAGATGATCAAGATGAGAGGGTGTTTGCTTCTTGTTGCTCTTGTGCTGATGCTTCGGGCGACGATCTGGAGGAATCTGGGGCGACCAAATCCTTGCCTTGCTCTGGGACGAGCACCAAAGGCTTGCTAATCTCTTTGGAAACTTGGGATTCGTCTGGAACCGATGTCCCGGCAATGTTCTTGAGAGGTGTCCACACAAACTTTCGCCTGTGGAAAAGCAAGTTTAGCATCACTTAGATTTGATCCAGATCGATTCTATCCAAGTTACCATCCTCCACACTCCGCAATGACCCGGACTTTGGGGCGTAGCGCAGGCAACAAAGTTAGAAACTGGAGCTCTGCCTTGGACAGCACCTAAGAAACAAGCACAAATTCCAAAAAGTATCTAGAGCTAAGAATCCACTCTGTTTTTTTTCTTGTTTGTTTGTTTACCTCGCATTCGAGAAGCCATAGAACGAGGCCCTTGCAATCTTCTGGAAGCATAGACAATCTATAATCGATCTCGGGAGGGAAATACCACACTGAAATCGCTTGCTTCCCCAGATGAGGCTAAAAAAAAAACATACATAAGAAAAGAACAACTTCTACATTAAATTCTAACTTACTGGGCGAACTCCATGAACTTTGGTGAGATAAGACTCGAGGTCTCCCAATCCCTTGGCGCTCATGGCCATGATATGGTAGCCTTCCATTTGGAGCTTGTTTGCGTACCTCCCTTCGTAGCCTCCCTCTGGAGGAGGATAGATGGCAATGGAGCCGAATTTCTCCACATCTTTGTAGAATTTGCCCCTGTCGAAGCGCAGCAAATCCCCGCCAATGTAATCGGAGATGTCGCACACGACCCTCCCGCGTGTCGAGCACGTTGAGGACAAACCTGATTTTCTGGGCGATTTCAAGCGAGTCCATCCAGATTTTGTGGTGGAAGAACTCTTGTGCAAGAATTTGGTGGTGGTACTAGCCGCGACGCTTGATTCTCCATGGCTCGTCAAAGAGCAGGAACAAGACATTCTGATCAGCTGGATTCGAATTCGTGAAAAAATGAATGGCAACCAGTGCATGTAACTTTTTTTCTGGATTTTTTGTTTGAATTTAAAACTTAAAATTTATAGCTTTGTATTAATTAGTCGTTTATCAGGTTTACTGAGGCAAAACGAAATGGCTGGGAGTTGTTCATAGCTACGACATGGCAAAGCTTAGCTCTTTTTTGGCTTTGTTTGTTTTTTATTAATGCGAAGAAGGGCTGAGGAGGAAATGTTTACACACACACAACAAAAAAAAACCAAAAAGATCCAGAACCAAGCTCTTGAAGTCTCCTTCGTCTTGGTTGCTCTTTCCTTGGGTGGTGAACTTCCTCCAGTTGCCATCCATCAACAATGCACTGGTTCATCCATTTCTCTTCAATGAGCTTGAGCTGATTCTTGAAATATAACTTTTGCTTTTGGTGATTTTATTCCAAGCTCAAGAAGCTCCGAGTCACAAACTTGTCGCTTAAGCTGGGGGAAATGTCCGTTCCACGAACGATTTCACGAGATCTCCAGATGGTCCGTGGGGTGAATATCACATCACCCCACCAAGGGCTCATTTGAAATTTGGAACGGCCACAGAAGATATTTTGTGTTCCATCTAAAAATAAAATAAAATAAACTTTATGTCGGGCACAATCAATCGAGCTCTTTATTGCATTCTTCATTCCCGGCATCATGGCTCATAGAAAAGGCTTGGCAAAGCTTGCGAGCTCCAGTCACTAAAGCCACTGAATCCTCCCAAAATACTCACCCGGGCATTTAACGTTGGAGCCCAGTAGCACGGTAGCACGAGATTCTAGAACACCATTGTCCTCACAACTGATTCAAACAATCACTTGGCCAAATTTCCCAGTACCACACACTTGTCGTTTTTGGGGCTTGTTAGGCATAAGAATACTCCCTACACTCTCTTGTGCTTGAGCTGCCTGAATGTCTTCCATTCTATGCAGGTAGATAGCCAAGTGGTGCAAAGCAGCCTGGTTTTCCAGGAGACTAGGGAGATCCCTCTTGGCCCAAGGGGTCCCATGGAGTTGAGCCTGGACAGGTTGGAAGGCTACGCAACATGATAGAGATACTTGGCCAGAGGCACATAGAAGGCATTGTTGAAGGTCATGAGAACTACCCAATAATTCACACATGGTGTAGGAACACGGTGATAGACATGTGGATCCTGTCTCATTGGATTCAGATTGCATACTTCAGCATACTTCATAACCAGTTGGCAAAAAGAAAGGGGAGTTAAAAGACAGTTCACTAAAGAATATTTTGTTAGAATATATATATTCTTTAAATATGCTAGAATATTTTTGTGTAATAAATTAAAATATCTCATCATTATAAAGGATACAAGAATATATGCTATATTAGTATACTAATGTGGGTAGCAAATGTATTTACAGAATTTATATCATCCTCCTCTTTGGAAAATGAAAATATGATAATGATAAATCAAGTAGAACATTTGAAAGTTCTATTGGGCAATTATAAACTGTTTGTCACAAAAGCTCCCATAGAATGACTAATATAACTGTTGACAATCATGACAAAAATGCCCTTCCAAAGCATATTTATCCAAGCTTATGATCCCTAGCACCTCCAGAGAAGATATTGAAGCTAGAGAAAAATATTAAGAAGAATTAAAAGAAAGCTTATAAACTATAAATGTATTTATAATTTACAAAAAAAGATTAATTTAATTTCATATCAACAAATATTATAGAATAAGTTAGAATATACTCAAAGGTGTTTAAGAAACTTTATAAATTTTTAAATATGTGTATAATTTACAATAGATTAGTATAATTAAATATTAGATGACAGAATATCCAAGTTTATTCTAGGTATATCCATTACCACTTGCATAAACAATCATTCTAAATAAACACATTGCACTCTTAAATTAGGAATAACAACAAAAAACTAAAATTTATCCAAACATTTGACAAAAATAGGATTCAGCAGCAATAAATAATGTCAATACAAAACAATTTGAAAAAAGTAATCCACAATTCAAAGTTTAGCAACAGTAATTCATAGAGTTCAACATAAAAATTAAAGAATTAGCAGAAAATTCCAATATAGAGTACTTATAAAGTATAAAAGATATTTACTCCCTATAAACCTAAAAACCAAAATCTTCTAAAAACTCTTCCCACTCAACACACGTGGAAAATAATTAGGGCAGACACTAGGCATAGGCAAGGGTGCAAGCGAGTGGGCGGGTGTAGGTGAAAGCTATAGACAATTGAGTGGGTGGGCAGGGGCCATACATAAACAAGTGGGCAGGTGGAAGCTATAGGTAGTAGATAGGAGGGCATATCAATGATGGGAAGATCATGTTAATGCATACCCTAGTTAAATATAGACCATTCTTGAGCTCACAAATTAAAGATTTGAGCTCGCAAGTTGAGCTCAATTTTCAATTGCAATTTAATATAAACATTATAGCCATCCAATAATCCAACAAACATTAAATAGCCATTAACAATTTAATACAAATATTATAGCCATCCAACAATCCAACAAACATTATAGCTCATCCAACAATCCAACAACCCTCATTTGGCCCTCTTGAGGACTTAGGTCTACCTTGAGTGTTTACAACTTGTTCCCAAGGACTCCTGATGCACCACCACTTTCTTTGCTGCTTTCTTCTAGTGCTTTGGTCTTCAAACAACTCAAGTCTCCATTACTTTCTTCACAATTCTTTTTTTCTTTTTTCACACTTAGATTAGAGTTAAAAGTTTGAGTTTTATTCAATCTTCACAATGTTGCTACTTTCTTCCCACCTAGCTCAGGCTGCTTGCCTAAGTCCCTACTGCTTTCTTCACAATGTCTATCTGCTTTCTTCACACCTAGACCCATGAAATCACTTTGGAGCACCCTCAATTCCTGAAGGTATGATAGACCGAGCCCAAGCCCAAGCCGAGTCCGAGTTCAAGCCCAAGCCCAAGCCCAAGCCCAAGTCCGAGTCCGAGTTCGAGTCCGAGTCCGAGAGGGTGAAAGCCCAAACCATTTGTCTCCTAGACC